TTATTCAGTAACGTTATTATAAAGCAATCAACTCCTGAAGTGCAATTCCTATGAAATGCTCATCAGAGCTCAACGTCCAGGGCTTTTTAGCCTCTAAAGAGGACCTATAATGTACAGTCGTGCAAAAGTCTGGGCACCCTTGATCAAATTACATGCTTAGTTAATTTTTAAGTGAAAATAAGTCACACATCCTCTCTAGTGAACACACGTCTGCACATTTTAATGCACAATTACTGTTTATGTGCTGAAATTAACATATTAGAGTGGGGAAAAACATCAAATTTGACATGTGCAGAAGTAATAGCACATTTTATATTTTATATTTTGGATGTTTTCCAATATGTTGAACAGCCAATGAATAAATTCGTGCACTAAAATTAGAAGAAAAAATGCCATACTTAGCCCTCCTATTATCTTTGGGGTCAGTTTGACTTCATTCAATGTTTAACATCTCTAAATAAATGATTCACACCTTTTTTTCTTTTGCAAAGAAACAAAGTGCCTAAATTTATTAAGTTTTAGCATTTTAAAATTAAATAAAGTTTAAATTGCTAGGGCCAAATTGAAAAGTAAATGTGTAAATTTGAAGATGAAAGGAGGGTTCAGTGTGTTCTCTGTAGAGTTGAGTTGAGTAGTGTCAACCTTTTTCACTTGGAAAATCAACAAAACCTGATTTGACCAGAGGTGTTCAATCATTCATTCATATATATTTATACGACTGTATACTGTAATGTTTCACCCCGCCTGTCCGTCTCCAGCCTTTTCCTTCACGTGGTGCTGGTGGAGTCCGCGTGCAGCTCTTTGGTCTCCTTGCTCTCCGCGCCCCCGCGCCTCTTCGCCTCCTCTTTCTTCCACTTCATCCTCCTGTTCTGGAACCAGATCTTGATGTGGCGCTCGGTGAGGTTCAGGCTGGTGGCCAGCTCGTACCTGCGGGGTCTGGAGATGTACCTGTTGAAGAGAAACTCCTTCTCCAGCTCCAGCAGCTGCGCCCTGCTGTACGCTGTCCGGCTGCGCTTGTGGTCCTCCGAGTCCTCGCAGAAATAACCTGTGACAGAGTGGGACGAACACCCCAGTCAACTGACTGTTTTCTACTTGTTTCTACATTTTTTTTTTTGTTCATATCTAAAGCTCTAATGGAAATTGTGCTTAAACTGAACTGCAGGGAAATCATGAAACTGTGCGGTGCAGTGGGACTACAGGGGTGGAGATGGGAAAACTGGGCTCTACTAAAGACATAGAGCCAATAATCATGATCATCCTTTAACCCTTTCACTGTTGAATTGACAGTGTTCAGCGACCTACAGTGTTCAACTAACTCAGTGTTTAATTAGGCTTTAGACTGTTCAATTAACTATTGGATGAGCTCAGTGTTGAGTTTGCACTGGAATGAACTCTAATATTGTTAGATTAAGGTTTATTGTTCAATGAACTCCTGTTTGTGAATATACTTTTATTGTGTTGCCATAAATCCAGTGACAAACAATTAAACACTGTAAAAGGGATTTGAATTTTAACTTATTTTAAAGCTATGGATTATGAATTATGATTTATGGATTTTAACCCATCTATCTTCATTTTTTATTATTTTTAATTAACTTCAAACAATTATTTAAAAGACTATAATTCGGTTATTTTCCTGCTAACAAACTGTTTCACGTTTGAAGAGCCTGAAATTTGTAGAAAGACTGTTTTGTTACCTTTTTAAGTTAAGATAACAATTTACAATGATGATTACAATGATTTTACACCTTGATTTAACACTGCAAGAGGAAATTCTTAACGTTAATTTAGCACTTTAAGAATTCATTTAACACTACAAGCGCTAACCCAACACTACGGGAGTTTAATTAACACTAAAGAGCTAATTTACCAATTAATCCAAAACTATAAGAATTTAACTTTAAAGAGCTAATTTACTTCTATATAAATTAATTCAACAATAGAAGGGTTAATCCAGAACTGTTGAAGTTTATTTAACCTTATAAGAGTTATCTCTCGAAGTAATACAACGAGAGTTATCTTATCTCACAGTTATCTCATAACTCTTTACGAGTTAATCCAACACTGTAAGAATTGACTCAACACTGTAAGAGTTAATTTTACAATATAAGAGTTCATTCAATATTGTCAAGAGTTAATCCATCACTAAAAGAGTTAATCTCACACTGTAAGAATTAAAATAACAGCATAATAATCCATTCAGCAATAACATTGAATTGATCCAACACTGTAAGAGTTACTGAACACTGAGTTAATCCAACACTGCAACAGTTAATCCAGAACTGCTGATGTTAATTTGACTATATAAGAGTTAATTGATCTTTTGGAGTAATAGAATAAGAATTCATCTATATGAATTAAGCCAACACTGTAAGAATTCATTCAACACTGTAAAAGTTCATTTTACATTGTAAGAGATCATAAGAGTTAATCTCTGTAAGAGTTAAATTAACACTAGCCAAAATCATTCATTTAACACTGTAAGACTTAACTGAACACTTTGAATTAACCAACATTGTAAGGATTAACATACAACTATATGAGTTAATCCAACACTGTAAGGGTTACTTTAAAAATACGAGTTGATCCAACACTTCAAGAGATAATCCAGAACTGCTGACATTAATCTAACCCTACATTAATTAATGTAACACTGTAAGAATTCATTCAAGACTGTGAGAGTTAATCTAAGACTAATAGACAAACACTGTGGCTATAAACGCTACAAAACATAATCCAGCATTAACACTGCAGTTGTTACAGTGTAGAAATAACTGTAAAAGTTTTTATAACACAGCAAGAGTTCATTCAACCCTGTAAATTTGTTTAAAACTTTTTAATCGTTAATTTAACCCTACGTGGGATAATTAAAATTAATTAAACACTGAAACGTTAAATTTAACACTATAAAACATAATCCAGCATTAACACTGCAACTGTTAGTGTTAAAATTACTGTCAACTTTTTCTCAACGGTGTAAGAGTTAATTCACCCCTGTGAATTCGTTTGAAACTTTTAGATTAACCCAACGCTCTAAGAGTTAATCCAACACTGCAACGTTGTATTTTAGTGTTTGCTAAGTGACCGTCTACATGTTGACTGCTCGACCTGTAACAGGCGCTGGGCAGGCCTGTGTTCTGAGCGCCCTCATCCACGGAAACGCTGCGTGTCCTCCTCCTCCTCCTCCTCCTCCTCCTCCCTCCTCGCTCCCCCGGCTCTGCTCCGTTACCGGCGGATACCCATCAGCCCCCGGGCCTTTCCCAGGCGACACGAACCCGGGCTGGTTCTCCTGCTCGTTTCGCGCGTGCTGGCAGGCGGGCAGCTCGCAGGGCGCGTACTCCGCAGGCTGTGTGTGCTGTGTGTGGAGCTGCGTGTACGGGGGCTCGGCGTAGAGCGCGTGATGCTCGGCGGCGCGAGAGAAGCGGCACGCGGGCGGATCCCGCTCGTAGCTGGCTGAAGCGTGCGGGTCGTAGTCTCCACTGTAGAACACTTCCAGAGAGTCCATCGCGCGCGAGCAGCTCTGAGTGTGAACGTACACTCACCTGGGGGCCTGTGTGTGTGTACCTGGGCCGGGTCACGTGACGGATCATAGCCTCATTAGTCATTAGGGCAGTCTGGCTAAAGTGCAGCTCATATTTACTCTTCACAGCCAAGGCGTGGGTCTTCTGCAGGCGTGAAAAGGAGCAACTCGTGAGCTCGTTAAGCTGCACTTGTGGCCCACATGCCTGGATCACTGTCTGTATAGAGAGGTTCAAGAGCGCTGAGCATTTTATTTTTTATTTTTTCTACTAAATATGATCTCTTTGTGGCCTCTCTCTCTCTCTCTCTCTCTCTCTCTCTCTCTCTCTCTCTATATATATATATATATATATATATATATATATATATATGCATGTTTGAAGTTCTATTGCATTTATAGTGTTTGTCTTTTGTTTCTATGTAAACTTCGAGAACCGAGGGTGGGTGGGAGGTAAAGCGATTGGTGGGAGATCATTTATTATTTGTATCTATGCTATAATTGTGCATCTTGTTTTCTGTTCAGTAATAAAAAGAAAAGAAAAAAAATGCTCACAAAAAGACTCAATATGATGTGTACCATTAAGCAGAGCAATATTTGAACAGGTGCAGATTGCAGATTGTAATTTTTACAGGTTTGTCTGACCTTCATTGCCCTCGACCTTTCATAAAGATCATAGTTGCACTGTAACTATATAGCTTTAAGTTTATTTTCTGTAATACTTGATTTTTTAACCGGACATAATCATATAAACTTTCAATTATATGTAATAATGATCTTCTCCTCTCAACAGCTCTGCCATAATATCACTTATCACAGTTTAATATCATATAAATGAACGCTATGCTCCGCCTCCTGCGCTAGGATTGGTTATCCCAGAGAAGGAGTGCTGGGAGTGACGGAAAACGGGTGGAAAAATATTCGGACTTGCTGCTTGTCCAAGAGCATAACACAGCAGTTACCTCAGCACTTATGATCTGAGATTTTATCTCCCCACTCTGCCTCAAACACCAATAACAGTGACTGCTGCATTATGGGACATTATGCTAGGATGGCTGGCTAGATTTAGTTATCTTGAGTGATTAATCTGACAGGAATTAAAGTTAATGATAAATGAACACGATACAAGTTAATAATATTATTATTACGTCTCAGGATACTAAAACAGCGTGGTTGTGAATGATGGAAAAGAAAACACATGTAAACAGCATCTTTCTATGGTGTGATGTACTAGTCTGGTCACTGTCGCCAAGATATCTGATTAATGGTAAAGGACGACTGGACACGCTTTCCCTCTGAATGGCACAAAAGTGAAGTAGACAGTTTGCAAGTTTATGAACATTTTCAACAAACTATGCATTTAAATGCTACATTTCTTATAGAGATGTGCACAAATTAGGCCTTTAAAAGTGGTGAGGACAATATATGGAATATATGTGGCTTTACTCGGTATTAGCATCTGTCGGAAAATGTGAGGGGTATATTTTCTGACGTGAATTACTATAAGGAACATATTATTACAAGTAACGAACAGCCATAAAACATTATAATGAACTAATTATAGCAAAGTAGCCAATCCTAGCCCTGCAGGGCAGGGCCTGTCGGAATACGGGTGGGAAAAATAACATTGCGCTCCTCATTCAACAGCCCAGTCCGGTTTCAGAAAAGAGCTTTTCTACTCAGAGAGACAAATTCAGAAAAATCGCAGTTTAGTTGATGTATATTTTAAACAGTCAGACACTCAGAGTAGCCAGGAGGCAGGATGACTGTTAAAGACCAAACGGGTATTTGGGAGTCATTTGCGAACCGACTGCTGCTGTTCTCCGGCTCGAAAGCAGCTGCGGCCGCCTGAAAAGGGCCTCTGTGGACTAATTGCTCTTTGTGATGTTTAACTGAGGACTTTAGGCTGAACACAGCTCGTGCAGAGGGGACTTATAAACTGTATTCATGTAAGATTTGACCTTAAGGGCTTTAGAGATGTTACAGAAATGCCATAACATCGACCTGCAGGACACGGTATAAACGCTTTTACATATGTATATTTATATAGATAGATAGAAAATAGAACATAGAAGGTGGTCTGTGTTTAGGTTTTATTATTTTTCCATAAACTGGTAAGTTAAACAAGCAATATTTAAGTTTATGTAGAGAGTCTGTTAACTTAATTTGTAATCAGAAAATCAACAAAAAAATATTATTTGACCAGAGGCGCCCAAATACTTGCATAACATACATAGATAGACTTAGATCTTAGATTAAATAAACAAATAAACAGGTAAATAAATAAATAAATAAATAAATACTTTGGCAATATATCATGATTTACAGTTACAGTGAAATATTTTCAGTTTGTAAGATTATTGTTATTTAATTTATATATATATATATATATATATATATATATATATATATATATATATATATAATCAGTCCCCGTGTCCTGTGTGTATATAAATGTAGAGGCAATACTCCTTTGTCAGTCTGTTTTAAATGGTTCGGCGCTCTTTCACTCTCTCACACCTGCGAGAGCCGAAGTCTAATTCGATTAATAAGAAATTCAATATATATTCATTAGGTGGCTTTCCCTGCGTAATGCGCGAACGCCAGCGGGACGTGAAAGGGCTCCATTTATCCCGGCTCTGAAAAGGACCTGCGTGGGACAGAAACTTCACCTGCTTCCCCTCTCAATTAGGAATGGATCCCAAACTCGCACGGAGAACGAGTTAAATTAAGCGTTGGCTAATTCGCCACTGTCCCTCCCGCGTAATCCCTCCATTTTTGCGCCATTGCCCCTTCAATTTAGCCCCGAGCTGAAAGGTTCAAATAGTGCCTAATGAAACAGTGACTAAATGCTTGTGTCGCTGTGGAAGGAGCCCTGTGCGAGCTCGCTGAAAGGCCTCTGTGAGCTCGGCCCTGTCGGGGGTCCGCCGGCTAAAGGCGAGCTCCTGGCAGGACAATCTAACCTGTCAAAGCCTTTGGCCAGCTCTTCATAGCCCTTTTTTTTACTCTCCCCCCACCGTGGGTTTTGGAAGGGAATTGCTACATAAGCAACCGACGTGGGACAGAAAGTGCAATTAAAGTCCTTTTGGATGAACTTAACATGAGGGACGGGCTGCGCGTGAAAGGCGCGCACAAAGCAGGGGCTCGGAGATCAGGGGGCTCCATTATGGAGAGCATCACCTGGGCTGTGGGAGAGAAAACCTCCATGAGCCTTTTGTGGCCTTCAAACACGAGCTGCTGGAGAGGAAAGCCAGTGGAAACCGTAAGAGTGAAATGATTATACAGGCTGAGCCCACACACTAACAAATAAGCCTTCAGAAGGACACAAAACGCAACATCTCCAAAACAGGCATTTAAACCTCCAGTCTTTTCACTTCCTTTCAAACTTGCACTTTGCTGTTACTGTTTTATTGGAGCTCAACGGGTGAAATCGTGTCTTGCAAACTTAACCACTGTATTTATCAACCCATTTCTGCTCAGACTTGCCGTTAAACAGCAACGAGGAGTCATGAATTGATCAATTGTACTGACGTGCGTTGGTGATTTGGCTGGAAAACCGTTTTTGGGGGTGAAACCTGTTTGGTTGCGTTTCATCTTTTTTTCTGAAAGCCCTTAAACCTCTAACCATCGTGTAATCCATTAACAGCGCACTAATAACGGAAAGCAGGTGGTTGAATACGTCACACTTAGCTTAACTTCTGATGTCGTTAAAATTCTGTGAAGAGGCTCAAAAGCGCAGCGCCTCTATCGAGCCCTTTTCTCGCCACAAGGAACTGTTACAATAGCCTTCAAATCTGAAGACTTTGCCACAATAAAATTTGCATCTGAAAGTCTGAAGGCTTCCTATGTGCAGCGTAAGTGGAGGGGACTCATAGCGAAGTAATTGCTCGTATAGTGCGCTGTGTGCTCGTCTATTATCTCTTTGTAATTTTAAGCATCTTTAAATTGCATTCGCATTTCCAGTGAAGTGATTTGTGCAACAGCATTTCCTTCAGTTTCTTTCAGTTATGTCATATCTTTCCCTGTGTTTTTAGTGCATTTCAGTAAAGTCTCGGTTCCAGTGTTTAAACTTGTGCTCTCCCTTTTTGATGATCCCTGATAAAGACCTATCAGAGCAAGTCAATCAAAAATAGAATGTGTTCGGCAACAGCATGCAAAGAAAAATTAGTTTAAATGCTGCAAATGAAAGATTACCTTATAGTTATCTTTCCTATGTTTATCAGCACTTTTGATGCTGGACTGCTTGCTATTTCATTATTCTAATTAATTATTACCATCATTAATTAATACACTAATCCCTCTGAAATTAAATGCACTCACTGACTTAAGCAAAAACGTTTTAACGTTAAACGTCTTCAGTTCAGTTCAACTTTAATTCAAATCTGTACTTGGGTTCCACATGAATGACATACATTATGTATGTCAAGACAATGTTTTCTTCCCGTTTATCCACTTTTGGCAAGAACTGAGTCAATATGGATCTGAATCAAGTAAAGTCAGTGCACTTTTTTCATTGTGCGCAAATGCGCGCGTGCATGGTCGATTACTTTAAGACTGAAACGCTGTAATGGTCAAGAATAATGTACCTAAACAGTGTGTAATATTTGAGAGATGTAATAAAACAATATCACGGCTGTAGAAGTCACATCATTACAACTGCGCTGAGAAACAAAACTCCAAAACGCACGGATGCATACGGGGCTGTGCGTAATTACGCACGTATTGAGTTTCTTTTTATTTAAATAAATATACAAATATACACATTTTGCATATTATGCACATAAAATTCAGGCGAGGAAAGACAAAAATCACAGTTTCTTAGTTATGCAACGCAAACCCACACGTGGGCATATTTACAAGGCGCAACAGATCTGAGCGCAAATGTGTCAAACATGGATCAACAGGACCAGGTCGAAAAAGATGCATGAAGAAAACACACAGACTGAACCTGCTGCAGTAAAACCAGTCCAGATCACAACCTTCTGTAGTTTGTACTTTTTTGTCCTGAATCTACCGGGTTTGGACACGTTAAGGGTCCTCTGACAGACTAAGTGCTGCTCGGCATGACCACAGTCCATTCTGTCCATTCCCGTTAAACGGGCGACGCCTCTTTTTCTTCCGTGGCGGACGCGGGCGACATCGACTCCTCGTCCTCCGAGCGCGGGTAGTGCGCGTGCCCGTGCACGTGGCCGTGCGCGCCGCCGCCGCCGCCCCCCGAGCACTTGCAGGCTCCGTGCGCGCCCCGCTGCGCCCCTTTGCCCTCCTTCTTGTGCTTGACGCGGCGGTTCTGGAACCAGATCTTCACCTGCTTCTCGCTCAGGTTCAGGTACGTGGCGATCTCGATGCGGCGCAGGCGCGACAGGTACATGTTGGAGGAGAACTCGCGCTCCAGCTCCAGCAGTTGAGTGCTCGTGAAGGCCGTGCGCATGCGCTTACCGCCCTGCACGGGGCCGCCGTCCGATGCGCCTGCAAGAGAGGAGGGGAAAGATCTGTGAGTTTACCTCAGTAATAAAACATCACCGTTTTGATTTATTACCACATTTTAATTACACATTAGTATACAGAACAGCTCGTATTAAAAGCTGCGGGATATGGCCTATTAAGAAGTGAGTGAACTATACTGTAATAATTACAGTAACTATACTGTAATCAAAGAGTACAATTAAAAAAAAATAACTATAACTATAATAAAAGTCCTTTAATGGGGTACATTATGGCAGCAAAGTAGCCAGTAGTAAAAGTATATACAATATATAAATATAAAAGAATATATATAATAACCAAACAAACTAGAGACACAGATGAGCTGTAATATATCTAAGCACTGCAGCTGCGGAGCCTAGAGTGTTGTAAAGTGCTGTAAGGATTAAGCAGCAGGTGTATTACCGAGGCTTACGCAGTGGTACCTCCGCGGGTCCGTGACGCCGTAGGCTGTGGGCGCGCACACAGGCGCGTGTCCGTGGGCGGCGTGCGCGACCGCAGGCCCCTGATGCTGATGGTGGTGCGCGAGCCTGGGGCAGCAGGGCGGCGCGTCGGCGCTCACGAAGCCCGGTGGAGCCTTGAGAAGCGCGAGGGCGCCGCCTCCGGAGCGGGGCGCGTGGACGTGCGCGGCGACGCAGAGCGGGCACACGCACAGCGCGCCGGTCTTCCGTGACGGGCATGCGGGCGCGCCCACGCTGACTGCGCCCGGTGCGTGCACACCGATAGGGAGCAGGAAGTCGTGCGCGGCGCGCTCGCTCAGGGCCGAGGGCCTTGCGGGGTCCTTGATGATGAGGGAGTCCACGTAGAAGGACCTGGACATGATGGATCCAGGAGTGCGCGCGATGGAACGACAACGGCTGGAGTTACTACTGCTGCTGCTGCTGTTGCTGCTGCTGCTGATGATGATAATATGGTGATGATGCTGTTTAGAGCGTTGGGCTGTTGGTTGTTGGGGTGTAGCTCGAGCCCAGGGTGCTGTTGCAGTTTGCGTTGCGCGCGGGGCTCTGTGCTCCGCTCTAAACCCTCGGGAGCGCAGGGAAGGTGCTTATGTTTGATGCTTCAACAAAAGGGAGCCCACAGAGGGGCCGGACCTAACGGCGCCCACGTGCGCTCCCAGCGCTGCGCCTTTAGTTGCGCCGGTGACCCGAGACACGTGATGCCCCCGCGCGCCACCAATCACAGCGCTGCCCGTCCGGACTCTAGGCTCCTTCATAGGCACACAACAACAGCGGATGATGATGATGGTGATAATGATGATGATGATGACGATGAGCTGATGACAGCAGCGCCAATGAAATACCTACAGTGGCCTCTTCACACATTGATGGGCCTGAAGGACCTACAGACAAGCACATTGCTGAGTTCTGATCAGTGTTTTTTTTAAAGCTGGCTACGGAATAAACACTGGAGCTCTGTCCTACCAAACAAGGCAGCTTTTTATATATTTATTTATTTATTACCACATCCAACGAATATAAAGCACAATGTAGACTTTGTATGGATTTTCTAAGTGAAAATCACGTATTTTCACACCTTTTCTGCACATTAATGCACAATTACTGTTTATTTGCTCAATTGGGGAACATATAAAATATAATATGTGGCCTGTGCAAAATTATTATTGTTATTTTTTTTGTGTGTGTGTGGAATATGTTAAACTCAGCAAGTAAAAGGAAAATGTGAATATATGTAATATGTATATTAAAGCATGTTTTCTGTGGAGAACGTGTTGATTTATTTTTTATTTTTATTTAGAATATCAACAAAACATGTAATTTGACCAGGGGTGTACAAACCTGTACATATAACACGTATAAACTTATATATACTACATAAGAATATATATATGTATGTATGTATATAGTCATAATATTAGTCATCGGGCTTATATTTTGACTTAGAACACATTACACAACCTACAACGTAGCCTTATTTGTTAGTGTACAGAACAGATGAACGCTACACATCGTTATATAAAAATGTGATTTATATATATATATATATATATATATATATATATATATATATATATATATATATATATATATAAATAAATACAGCAGAGCTTGTGAAGTTCTAGTTTAGATAATTATGCAGCAATAAAGCCTCATAAACAAATTGCTCTCTGCCAAGTATTGTTTGTGAGACAAATCCACCTTTATTCGTGGAGGGTATTTGCAGGGGTTTTGTGAAAATGCGGTTTAATGCCCTAAAACCGTGTGACTGTGCGGCCTACACACAATCACCCTAATCAGCGCTCAGGTCCGTTTGCACAAACGGCAATTAAAGGTTTATGAAACGCGGTGGAGTTCGGGCGCGCTATTCGATAGCGATTAGGATTCAATTAGGAAGCGTTTATTGTGGAGAGCTCGGGCCGGATAAACACGCAGCTATTCCAGAAATGCGTTAATCCCTCATCTTGTGACAATAATTAGCTGGTTTGATCTCCAGGAGGGTCAGCAGCGGGTTGAGCTTCCACTTTCATCTGTAGCCTCGCGCCTTCAGCTCCAGACACGGAGCGGCGCGCGCCTCCGCACGGGCACAGGAGGCTCAGGGTGGGGGCATCAGGTGTAGGGGCATCAGAGAACAGACAGCTTAAGAAAGTCTCACTTTTTACAACCTTGGCTGATGTTCACTGTGTTCTTTCCTATTAAGCACAAGGAAATACTGTAAATTACTCGTCATTTTAGAGGAAAATTGAATAAAAATAGTGTGTTTCAGACACACTCTGTCCCATAATATATATATGCTTCATAAAACGTGTCCCTTAAAACCCAACCCATTATACATAACATACCAACATAACATGACCAATATTACCAAACACACTGTACTACAACGTCTATCACACTGTCCCAAAACACCTAACACACTCTACCACAACACCAAACACACTGTGCAGCACCTAATGTACTGTCCAATAATGCCAAACACACTGTCCCATAACACCAAATACATCGTCCCATTACACCTAACACACTGCACCACTACACCAAATACACTGTACCACAACAGCTAACATACAGCACCATACTACATAACACACTGTATCAATAATACCAAACACACTCTACTACAACTCCAAACACACGATCCAATAATGTCAAACACACAGTACCATAATACCTAATACACTCTCATAACACCTAAAACAGTTACAGTGTGTACCACTACACCAAACACACTGTACCACAACATCTAACACACCGCCCAGTAATACCAAACACACTCTACCACAACAGCAAACACACTGTGCCACAACACCTAATATACTGTCCAATAATGCCAAACACACCGTTCCATAACACCAAATACACTATAGTACTACACCAAACACACTGTACCACAACACCTAACACACAGTACCATAATACATTACACATTATCCAATAATACCAAATTGCCCCAAACACGCCACCCATTATAACACACTGCCTCATAATACCAAAAAAAACGCTCCATGTTACTTAACACACTGTCCCAAAATACCACACACTACCCCATAATACCAACCACAATATACCACAACACCAAATACAAAGTATCATAACACCAAACACAGCATACCACACCAAACACACTGTACCACAACACCTAACACACAGCACCATAATACATAACACACTGTATTAATAATACCAAATGCATTGCCCCATAATACCAAACACACTGCCTCATAATAGCCAACACACTGCGCTTTATTACCAAACACACTGTACATGTAGGCTATGTAATACTCTCTCATATAATACACTGTCACAAATTACCTCACATTGTCCTATTATGCTAAGCATATGAACGTAAGCCACAGTCTCATTACGCACTGATGTATATTAACAAAGACACTGTCCCATAACATCTAACATACTATCTCTAATATAGGCTACCTAACACACTCTCATATAGCACAATATCCCATAAAATCACACACTATCCTATATTACCCAACACACTGTCCCATATGATCTGATGTCCCATTAGACTCCACTCTAGCTCTACCAAACATGATAATCTGGATGAATGGAACTAAGAAGCAACCAAGTAGTACAGTATCATTTACATTGTGCTAATTTGTATCTATTTATTTTATTTCAGAGTTAGCAACATTAGCATTACTGTCCAAACTCATTCGAAGCAAACACAGTGGCATGCAGGATGGTGTTGAAACTAAATTATAATATCAATATGAGTCAGAATATGCAGTATATGAATGAGACTCTATTAAGAATTTTTTTAAAACTATGTACATTAAAGGCTTTAGATGCTTAAACTGTGAAGCACAGTCAAAGCAGCCATACTTCACAAGGCTTTTGGTGGATACTGAGGTGTGAATAAATGTGGGCTGATGGTAATTTTTGAGCAGAGAGGCTCCACATCGGTGTGTTGTGCTAAAGGCTGCCTGCGTTCATATGCGTTTAATTGCTGAAATCAGCAGAGGCCCTCGCGCTTAAACGCCATGGAATAGGAGTTTAAAACGGGGCTCAGCTGAAGAGGAAAAAACACAAACACGTCTGTCAAGTCGTCTGTAATTGTTGTAATGGAGGAAAGGCGGCGTGTAACACGAGAGGCGAGAGAGAGAGAGAAAGAGAGAGAGAGAGAGAGAGAGAGAGGGAAAGAGAGAGAGAGAGAGAGAGAGAGAGAGAGAGGAGGAAGGGAGGAGGAGGAAGGTAACCCAGGCGGAAATGATGTGTGGCGCGCGCCCACATCACACCGTCCCAGCTTCAGCATCATTATTTCTTCCAATATTTTTTTTGTACACCCCCACTGATAAAATTTCATTGTCTATGAAGTAATCCCGCAAACGAGAGCCTTTATGAGGCTGTAATGAGGCCTAATTGCTGAGACTAGCCGGGCCACGTGGAAGGGTTTAAGAGGATTTAAGCCGTCGGGTACTGCGCTCACACTGTTACCTAGACCACTGCTTTCATAATTCAAGGGGAAAACGACTCCTTTTAAGGGGAGATCTGTGCGGATCCCTTTCCATTCTGCTTCGAAGGGCAGGACTACTAGCTTTCTTCTTACACCAAAGCCAAAGCCTGGATCAGAGAACTACAGACTTCTTTCTTAGACTATAAATAAGTTGCCAAAATGGAGCAATGTTATAGAAGAACCACTTTTGGTGCCCTAAAGAACCTTACAGTTGAGTGGTTTTAAAGGCCCATCCACTTAAAGGCTCTTTAGAGAACTAAAAGTGGCTCATCTATGGTATCAATCCAAAGGACCTTGGACCACTGACGTTCTCCTTCTCCCAAGCAGGAGCTCCCATTTGGTACCCCAAAGAGAAATGGTTCAGCTTGGATGACAAGTGCAGAAAAATGTTCTGGCCTGTATCTACAGGTGCTCAAGCTCCATTTAGAGACCATTCTCTGACGGGACAGTGGATCCACAGCCAGGATCAGGGTTACGGTATAGAGCTCCACCATGGAGAAGTCCATCATGCTTTGTTCTCGTTAACTTGTATCAGCGCCTCCTTACAAAAGTTGCATTGAGTCTGGTTGGGGGCAGCCCGCGGGCCATCCTCCTCCTCCTCCTCCTCCTCCTCCTCCGCCCCTCACCCCAGTAACCAAGCAACACACGGTGAATACCCAAAACCGAAAGGAAACACTCAGGTTCTCAATGTAGTCTTCAACAGGCAGCGGGAGAAATGAACAATGATCCCCCATCCAGCACAATGGCGCAGAGTGACTTTTCATTGCCAGTTATCTCCTCCATGTGAATAGCAGCTGCAGTGGCTGCACTCCATCTCATCGTTTAGGATAGAGGGAGGGAGGGGGGTTCCTCATGTGTGTCAAAATCTAATTTATGTCTTAATGAATGATTGAATTTTTATGCAAAAAGGCCTGAGCCACACACAGGATTTTTTTTTTTTGGCTGCAATGGCTGAGTGAGGGCATTTGAACTCTGTGTGGTAGGTTAGGGCACAGCAGAATGCTCAAGACTGAATCTAGAGGGCTGAATCAATATCTACCGAACTGGATTAACTCTTGCTGTGTTCCATTAAC